GTCTGTCGGTCGGTCTGTCTGTCTGCCTTGCTGTCCGTATGTCTGTCTGTCGGTCTGTACTATGTATGTATGTATGTCTGTATGTATGTATGTATGTATGTATGTATGTATGTATGTCTGCATGTATGTTTTTGTGTATGTGTGCATGTATGTATGTATGCACATAGGTACATACACCGGCACACTCGGCTCACCACAACTCGATCTAATCCCTCTTGAGAGCAGGTCTCCATCCCGAAGTTCTGCAAAGCGATGCCATGGAGGAGGCCTGGAAATTCGCCTACACTTTTTGGGCAGGGGGTTGCCCTGCCCCCGCCGCATGCCCAAGACAGGTGGACTGGACCAGTCCAGCAACAGTCGACCATTTCTGCCAAAATCGACTGAATGCAGGATTGGCGCCAAAGTAGCCCGCTATCATCTTCTCCAGGCGGGACAAAGAAACTCGGGGCTGTGTGGGTATTTGAAAGCGCCGAGGCCGACGGCTGCCAGATCTGTCAACCAGCAAATGGCTGACACCTTCGCCGCCTAGCGCTAGCGCCCCCAGCAGAGGCGCGCGTCAACCTCAAGGAGCGAAATTGACCTGACTGCCCTGTTGCAGGGCCGCGTCCTCCGACGGAACCACTCGTGGCCGAGGTGGCGCGGCCGTTCCGAGCCAGCTCGCCCCTGCGGCTAACGTCGCCTGGTTGCACTGGTGGCTAGAACACTTTTCACAACTCGCGGTCTAGGTGGCATTTGAGCGTGTTGCTTTGGTGCTTCACTCTGGAGGCTCTGGGAGGAGAGGCAGCTTCAACGCAAATCTGCCAAGCTTGTGTTCGCTCTTGACAGACACTGCGATGCACAAACGCTCGTCCACTCTGGTGGGTCGCAACCGAGCCAGCCAAAACCCCCTGCACGCTTGCGGGCAGCCTGAACCAGATGCAGACATGTAGACGATGGCTGAAACCGAGTGTCTGGCGAAACTGTGACGTACCTTGTGATGGATGCCAGGCTGCCTCCGTGCCTGGTCGGGGATCACGACCTCTTTGGTGCCCGCCAAAGAGCTAGCTCCTGCTTTTAAGGGAGCCGAAGGCGCCGAGCTGAGCATGGCTGCGTGGAATATAATATATATATATATATATATGTATGTAAGTTAGCAATAGCATCCCTCATGCCTTCTCGTCCGCTCATAACTATACGAGATTAGAATATGCGCAGAAACACGCCTGTAGTTACCCTATTTTTCAGCTTGTATCAATGTTGCCGACATGAAATGGCGGGCAGGCTTACTTGGGGTGGTGGACCTGACGTGAGAGGTGGTACTTGACAATCTCCTGCAGAGTCCACCCCATGTAGCCTTTGTGCTCATGAGAACACTCCCTACGGTACCCTCATAGAATCCTTGTGGTGTTCTAGTGCCCTTCTATAGATAGTAGCCTCCTGGTAACCCTTTATAGCCTCTTAGTGATAAAGAGCAGCCCGAAGATGCCGAGCATCTGCTCAAGTGCCCTTTCGTGTGCATCCAGTAGTTCGTTTCGCCATGACTACCGGGATACGACTGCGAAGAGGCACTGTCTGCGAGAATGGTGAAGTGCAAAGCGACAAAAGTTTGTGTATTGGAACTGCGTGAAAATGAAGACCATGAAGATGGCGAAGAGAGCTTCCGTTGCTTCAGGTTCCCGGACCCAGGTCCTAGGCACCCAATATCGACAGTGAGCTTGGACAGCAGTGTGTGCGATCGCAACGGGGGCAGAGTTCCCATTGTCCGCGGCCCTGTCGGCGGAGATAGGATTCTAATGCTTCGGAGGTGAGACTGTCGATCCGACCCATCCCTTGCAAGAAGATCGACCGTGCTAGTTTAAGGGCGGGGGAGGTTTGCCCCAGACTTTCGCGACCGCCCGGACCCCATCCAGATACTGAAGGAGCGGCGGACATGCCACTTGGGAGCAGGATTTGCTAGTACTGCGCAGCCGGTGGAGCACTTCGGATATTTCCCTCACCCACCTTTGTGGAAAACACCGACAGCAACGAGGCAGCGGAGAGGTGAACGAAGGGATGTCTGGAGTCTGGAGTGTTTGAGTTGAACTGCCCCTGAGACGCCATTGGATGCGCGAGCAGCCGCATCGCTCAACAGGCCGATGCCACACCACCAGATGATCGTTGATCCGAACGAATGCGCAAGTTTGAGAAGCTTGCTTACAAGTGCCCAAACCTTGCCCAGCATGTCTTATGCCCGGTCCTCTCCAGCTCTCGCCCTTGTTGGCGAAGTTGCGACAGCAAGCTTCTCCTGGGCGACCGGCGGCTGAAAGTTGTGTTTACTGCACAGCGTAGAGTTGATCCGGAAGATGCTGTCGACAAGTCGGATGCAGATTCTTGTCGGTCTGTGGCAGCACCATGGGCACAGAGAAAATGTGCCGTCCGTCTTATTGTACGACTACCACGTTGACGTTGACTTTGCTTTTCGTGGTGGTGAGACGGAGTTATTGGATTCTTGTCTGAGGTAGAGGCAAGAGTGACAAATCTGGAGAAGCGCCCATGCGGTCCTCTCGAACTATCAAATGGCAATCCGGGTGCAACCGGTCCGACGGAGGTCTCCCCCTCGCGCGTAAAGAAGCTCTGAATCTGCCTCGCGAGGGCTCCGACGCTCTCGCGAGCTGCAAAAGGAGCGATTAGAATCACGTCTAACGGTCGCATTAGAGGTTTGGTCAAGGAAGACGGTAAGACTTGTGAGCGATGTTTCACCCCTTTCGAAGATCTTCGGCCCACCCCAATGGTGCAGAAATGTGCCCTGGGTCGTTGTTACCTGGGACGGCCTGTCCCGTTATGTTGTTCATTCAGGGAACCCTTTTGGGTTTTTGGGCCAGTGCACCGCAGACGGCTAAGCTCAACATGTTTCAATGCTACGTCCTGTTCGCACAGAGTATTGAGCTGTTCTCGCCTACTCGGCAGGACTTGCGACCTGCAACATCCTGCAACCGAGATGGCTAGTTGTTCGGGAGCGCGTGCTACCTCCCGGGCATGCCAGGACCTGCACCACCGCCGCCAGCGCAGACGCGTCTCGATCGAGTGTGGCACGTGCCAGGGCAGCATTTGATCTGCTGCTGGAACTTTGCTGTGCGCAGCGTCCTCTTGTTTATCCGCGCCTTGCAAGCATTACATAGAAGAGACTAGTATCTCGTACTCGTCGCACCAATGTAGCAGGACATGACAGTGGAGCCTGGAGATAACTTGCCAAGACGTCGGCAAGGCCTGGCGACGACTGGTGGCCTCAGACCGCGCGGGCGAGATCGAGCTGTCGGTCGCTCTGGCGGAGTGGCTTTCCCAAGCTCTAGGGCGCTGCAGCTATTGGACTGGTTGCGGCTTCTTTTAATTGACACAGCGGATAAGCTGTGAAGGGTAGCAGAGGTAGCACGCACAGACAAGATTATTTCGAGCTCTGACCAACTCCAATCATGATGGCAGGGTTCTTTGCTTCTGCAGGCCCTTCTATCCCAGTATCTTCTGGAGACCACCTTTGAAGCAAGAGTTGCTATTTACGCTTGTACGCGTAAACAGACAAAAATGCTCCTAGTTGTGCTAGACCTTGGGAGAACTCCTGCTCAGGTACTGACGAAGCCGGTCCTCCACGCCAAAACCTGAAAGCACAAGTCACGAGAGCCGACAACAACTCACCCCATACAAGCCTCCAAAGCAGGGACCCTCAGTGCTAGCCTCGAAGGCTTAGACCAAGCCCGAATCCTAAACCCTAATAAACCCTAAACCCTAAGCCAGGTCCAACTCCTCCGTGAGCAGATGGCCCGGACACAGCGAGGGAGCCTCGAGCACTGGCGGCGCTGGGCAGAGCGCGCTCCGGGAAGGCGGGTGATGGGGGTGAATCTAATCGGCAGTAGTAATACTAGAAGAAGAAGAAGAAGTAGTAATAGTCGTAGT